GGATTTGCTTTAATGCTGAGTATTACAAGGTCATTTCCAGAGCTGTCACTGTTCCTTCCTCTGATGTTGAGCTGCAGTTTAGTTTTCAGCTCTTATCATTGGACTTCCTTCCATGGGAAAAAAGAAGTCTGCCCCTGCAGACAGTCCAGTGCACGCTTCCTTCTCTTGCAGTGGGAGAACCGCTCTGAAGCAGATCTGCACCGAGGTTCAGTGGTCTGGGAGTGCCAGAAGGGTGCTGTATGTTTATGAATTTATCACATGGAGATTGGGTTCGAATGTTGTCGTTCTGTTTTTATTTTGTACATGACACTGATTTAGCCAATCAGCTTCTCTGTGCAGCATCTAGAGGACTCAATGTTATTTCCCTTCAGGGTTATCATAAGTCTTTGTGACAGGGCCCCTTGTTGGTTGCCCTAGTTTATGTCTGATTATGCAGTGGAAGCCACAGTGAGCTTCAGGAGATGGTACTGTTTGATCTGCAACTTTTGCGCCTGAGATGCCTGTCACCTCACTGTGCCCCCGTCTTCCCCAGAGAAAGCAGCCTGATGTGGCACTGCCTGTAATGCACTGAGACTTGGACCAGCAGAGTGGTGTGACCCACTCAGTTTATGCAGGGAGCTGGCGGCAGGACGAGAGCTCAGGTCTCCTGTGCCCCATCGGGCACTGCAGTAATTGCTGCCATGAATTTATTAAATCAATCAGTACCAGACCCATACATTGGCTGTGCTTCTCACAGCAATTCTGTGAAGTAGAGTTTTACAGATAGCAAAACAGACTGAGAGAAGCCAAACCTGGCCCAGAGCCTCCGAGCTGAGATCCAGGTTTAGCCCAGGTCTGTCAGCCAGAAACCCTGCCCCGTGTTCTTGCCTAGAAACTGCAGCACATGTCAGAAGGAAACCTGCTCGTTTGCCCGCTCAGCCTTTCAGCCATTTGATCTGTATCATGATTCCGTGGCTGCCCTGCGCCAAGCACAGTGTTATATGGTACAGACTGAGCAAGACAGACACAGACCTGTCCTCGGTGGCTGTCATTTTCCTGCAGTTTTTCCTGTCTCTTGCACCCTTATCCCTCTTCAGTAGTAACACGCCCTGACATGTACACACACATGCACACACTAGCAGCCTCACTAGCTTCGCCTGTGCACCATGTGTCCGTGTTCTCTTCTCTGAGGCTTGCAGCTGCATTAGGGTGAGGGCCACACCGCAGTGCGTGGTGAAGCCAGGGCCTGTGTGCAATGCCGGCGGACCCCCCGGGCCATGCAGTGACCAGCACAGACTGGATGCAAGTCCAGGTGTCAGCATTCTCTGTGTGCTTCTTTCCTCTGCTCAGCCACCCCATGGTACAGCTGTCATCCAAAGCACAGTCCTCCCAGCTCGGGGAACAAGCATCTCCCCCAAGATTGTCTTGCGAGTAATTCTGCAGCCAGAGTTTAGGCTCAGTCCAACTGCAGAGCCCAAACTGCCCCCAGCTTCTGCATCGAGATGGGCTCTGCCCTGCCCTGCCCTGCCCTGCCCTGCCAGCTGCGTCAGCCACACCTGATGAAGGACAGTGACAGAAAGGGACTCTAACCAGAGTCCTTATCCCTTCATAGATTTTATCACCTTTTTTTCTTACATTTGCCAGCACCTTGTACATGATAGGCAGGTACTGTCTCAGTGAACTATACAGCTGGCCCTTTTTATTTTTCCTTTTGAGGAGAGATTTTGCTGAGGTTGCCCTAGCCTGGAACTTGTGATCATCCTGCCTCAGCCTCCCAAGTAGCTGGGATTATAGGCATGCACTACCAGTTCCAGCTTACTTTTATAATCTTATTCTTAAAGGGGTTGGTACTTATGTTTTGTGACATTTTAAAAATAGTTCTTTTCCCAAAACTGGATTAAGCAAAACGAAGTCGATAGTTTGAGGTACAAGATGCACATCTGAGATCAAAAAAATCTTTACAAAGTCCAGAGATTCTTAAAATAGACAAAGCCTGGCGATTTCACAGGAAGCCAGAAGAGCAAGTTGCTTCCTTGTGTTATGCAAAAACTTGACAGTTCAGAGTAAAGCAGGGATGGTGATGCTGTGGCCTGCTAGGAGCGGAAGATGCGTGAGATCCGGCTGTGATGTCCCAAGGGCCCACAGTCTAGAGAGACAGCAGAGGAAGCAGCAGTGAGGCCCCAGTGAGTCTCGTCACCCCAAAGTCACAGGAGAGCAGGAGGGAAAGCCTTGTCTGCTGACAGTGTCAGGGAGCCAGAGGAGGCCCTGGGGGAGCGGGCCAGGGAGAGCTGTGACTTGGGAGTCTCAGACAGAGTGTAATTTGGGCACAGTAGTGTAGTTTCAAGCGAGGCCTGCCCTGGAAAACAAGCAGCAAATGGCCGTTTCATGCCACCGGCCTGGTCTCATCTGGTCTCATCTCATCTCCTGTTGAGACAGGGTCTTGCTATGCAGGATTTAAACCAACTGTGCAGCCCAGGTTGACCTCAGACTGGCAGCAGCCCTCCTCCTGCCTCAGCCTCCTGAGTGCTGCGGTGATAGACATGTGCCGCTGTGCCCAGCCAGCCTCTCTAGTGCCTGTCACCGATGGAAAAGGTGGATCTTTGGTAGCGTTTTAACACCCGGAATCTGTGAAGCACCAAACTCTTCTTATTACCTTTGCACACCAGGGCCTGATACAGTAGAGGCTCCTAAAGCATCTGTAAAGCCAGCAAACTGAACCCCATCTGTGGGACTCAGAGGAGCCTCCACACTCAGCACCACACTGATTCAGTTCAGCTGGTGTTCAAGTTGGCCGTCAGAGTTCAGCCCCCCACCTGTTACCCACAAGGCCCAGTGAGAAGTGGGGCAGCTTCCCCCACCCTCCGCTGGCACAGATTGAGCCCTGTGACTCCGAGTACAGACAGCACCGGCTGGGAACATCCGAGATAGGCAGATGACGGCCCCATGCAGACCTGCTACCCGGTGCCTGCGTTTAACAAGGTCCTTCAGAGAGGCTCCTGTACATTGAAGTCTGAGAAGCCCTGAAGTCAAGAACAAGGCTTGGACCCCTGTGTGAGACGTCTGCGCTGTTTATGCGGCTCCTGGAGCAGACCTGCATCGTGCGGAGTTCCCCGGGGGCCTGACAGCGCCCTATTTTTAGCAGTTTTAGTTATTTTTAGTGACAGCACTCCTTATGGCTGCTCTGACACAGCCTCTACTTTCTTGAAACACTGAGTTGGATCCCAAAATATGTGCCGTAGGATGAAGCTAGTGATGAACTCTAGACTGGAAAACAACAAACCAACTGTGGAACACAATAGAAAAGCAGTGCTATGGTAGCACCCAAGAATGTTTACCACCACGGCCTGTGCAGCTGCCGGCTCCAGGTTACAGACCATTTAGCGCCCAGGCCTAGTGACAGACAAAACAGCACGGGATCAGTAATGGCGAGACTGTGATATTCACAGATTTCCTCCATGCCGGGTCTGATGCGAAATTCATCAACACATGTTCAGAAGCAGCTGGGCTCGCTTGCATTTCCCGTCCCAGTGTCTCACATACTTGTGTGTGAACTGTGGTTTTGTGTTTATGAGACCCCCTTCAAGGCAGAGGCCTGGTTACCCGGAGACCCCACGGTACAGGAGAAAGCTGCTGCTGCTGCCGCCGCAGTCTTTGCTGGTTCGGCCTCTGCAGCCACCGCCCCAGCCGCTCCCCTCGTGGGCTGCTTCACTGAGCTAAGAGCTGATCAGCCCGGGGAGGAGAGTGCTGCCCGGCCCCCCAGTTCACTGACCAGCCCCTCCATTCCCGCCCACTCCCCAGCCTGCACCTGCACTGTTCAGTCCCCCGAAGGCAGTGAATTAATGTTTTTCCTTGTATCTGGGCACCCCTGGAGACAGAGCCTTCTCGCTGCCCCTGTTTCCAGGCTTCAGGCCCCTGTCCACCTTGTCAGGGCCGAGGCTGAGATTGCTTCCCTTACCTGAGCCCTGAGTAGTTATTTTTTCTTTGAATGGGGAGAATTTTGAGGGAAAGAAGCAAAGCCATTCCTACAAAACAAAGTAATTGTATATAGCTCTTCACGTTTCCGTGCATTACACTTTCCAAAGTTCACGTTCCTCGAAAGCGCGGCTGGGCCAGGACCTGTCGCAGAGCAGGTTGGGTGAGTAAGCGAGGCCCATCCCGAGCTCCTTGCCGCTGCCCCCTCCTCCTGACCCTCTGTCAGGCCCTGCACACCGGTGCTGGGGGCCACCTTGCAAGGGCTTGCTAGGGACCAGAGTGTGCAGTTGGCCTCACACAGGCCCTGCATTCCCTCCCCCAGCCAGCCCACAGCGACGCACGCCCACACCAACATGGAGCCTTTTGTCCCCAAAACTCTTTGTGTCACCTGCATCATTTGTGATACAGAGCACAGAAGGACATCTCCTTCTAGCCATATACATAAACATAAAAATACCACTGAGGTCACCTTGTAACTACGGGCATCTGATCAGGGCTGTACAAGCCACCTTGTGTCCCCAAGCCCCACCTGGCCCCTGGCAGGAGAGACTAAGGTTTGGAGTTGGGCGCCACTCTGAGAGCAGAACCATGCGGCAAGTTAGATGTCCCCTCTTCCAACCAGCAGCAGACTGAGCTTGGGGGCCTGTGGTGGCTGCCGGCTGTATGCCAAAACAGGGCAGTGAGGTGCCATTTCCTCAGCCCCCTCGCAGAGGAGGGGTGTAGGAAAGACGTGGGAGTGCAGAGCCAGGTGGCTCCCAGGTGCTCCACGGTCCTGGTGAAGGGTTAGGAAGCCCTCCAGGAGGTGTGTGAGTGCAGGAAATTTAGGGTCTGCATGGGGGACCGGTCCAGAGTGGGGGCCGCCTTGGGCCTGCAGCGAGGAAGGACTTAAGTGAGATGCGCCCATTTCTAATAATGTGCGCTGACCTGTCTCCAGCTCACTGCTGGCGTGGAAGGAGCTGCCATCTCCTGACTGTTGGCTGGGGGCAAGTTCAGAGGCTGCGAGGACCGGGCTGGCAGTGGTGTTAACCTTTCCGTTTCTTACATCTCAGGCAGCCTCAGAACCTGGCCTGGATCCCCAGCAAATCCAAGCGTTCGACCAGCTTTGCCGGCTGTACCGAGGAAGCTCCAGGGTAATGTCATGTTTCCCCTTTATCAGCTGCAGTTCTGGAAAGCAGTGCCTGGAGTCCTGCTCCTCACCTGCTCCTGGCCCTCAGATCCCCCGAATCCCAGCCGGGTCCAGGGAGCACACAGAGCTGGCATGGCAGAGGGCGTGGAGGGAGGGAAGTGCTAACTGTCCCTTACCTGCCTGGGCTGCAAGGGCTTCGCCTGCATGCGGAGGGAGCACATGGAAGCCTAATCCACACCAGAGAGCCTTTACCTTACCCGCCTGTGGTTTTTATTTTGCTAGTACACAGTGGCAGCACATGCAGCTCGCGGGCATCTTAGGCAGAGGTTACCTGGATATACTGCAGCTGCTGGGTTTTTGTTTTTAACCCCCTTCCCTCCCCTCTCTCCACTTCCCCATGCCGATTTTCATTCTCGTTGATATTAACCTTAGCTCGCAGTCTCCGGGAATAAAGGCCAGTTTCTCAGCCTCCACTGCACTTACCCACGGGCCTGGCACGGATGGCTTCTCATGTTCCTTGACTCACTGTTCTGTCCTGAGGCCCAGGCCCTTGGAGGCATTTGCATTGGTTGAATTATCTGGGGCCAGAAAGATTAACCTATACATGCAAAGGAACCATGGTTTAAACAAGATGGAAGTGTGAGTGCAGGAGGCCAGGATGCCTTCCACGGACCCCTGCCCGGCGTCCCCAGCTTGTAGCTTGTCGGTTGCTTGCTCGGTTCATCGTGGTTACTCCAGCTCTCACATCATGTGAGTCTGCATTCCAGCTGCCAAGAGGGAAAGGAAGACTCCCCTAAATTGTTCCCATCACCTGCTCGATCTCACCATTCTGTGTACAGCTGCAGTGCAAGCAAGGAAGCTGCTCCTGGAGACCAGGCTGGAGCAGCACCTTCTCTCCACGGGTGGGACAGAGAGAGCCCCAGGGGCGCTGCTCCTGGAGACCAGGCTGGAGCAGCCCCTTCTCTCCACGGGTGGGACAGCGAGAGCCCCAGGAGCGCTGCTCAGGAGCCTGTCCCCTGGGCACTTGTGGCTCCATGTCCCACCAGTGACTCAGCAGCCACGGCAGCTGGCTGGGTTCATCTGTCGCCCCACTGTGCAGTGTGGGGAGTGTCTCCCAGGCTTCTCCCCGACTTCTCCCTGGCCCTGCAGCTGCCTCCGCCCTCATCAGGCCTCTTGCACACTACGCAGGCCATTTCCAGACCCCAAGACTTCAGTATTTTTACAAATTAGCACTTGGGGGCCTTCAGGTGGCTCCCAGTTTCCACAGCCGACCGGTCATGTTTGCAGCAGGAGTGACAAATGAGTCATTGCCTGTGTGACAGAAGCCGGCTGCCCAAAGCTAGGAAACAGCTGGAGGAGCAGGCTGGTGTACAGGGCACAGGTGACAGCTTCAGATAAGGCAGCAGTGGATCGTGTGGCTGTGCAGGACCAGCCCACAGGCCTGAGTTTGAATCACACACTGTGGCTCCCCACTGGGGGACCTGGGGTGAGTGACTTCGCTGCTCAGTTACCCCCGAGGTGACTGGAGAGGGCGGAAGCAGCACACACGCAAAGCGCCAAGCGCTTGGTCTGGCGCTGAGAGGACATCCGGCAGAGTCGCCCAAGGCCCAGTGAGGTCCGGCTTCCCTCTCTCCAGGCCGGGCTGCTCCTCGGAGCACTGGTGGCTGGGCACCCAGTCTTGGCTGCTGTGTATCAGGACCGTGGCTTGCCAGCCCTGAGTGCCCCGCGGGTCAGCTCTGAGGGGTGGACAGGGCTCCCTCAGCAGAAGGCTGGAGAAGCTGCAGCAGGCATTTAGAGGGCAGCGAGGCTTAGGCATCTGGGTGGGACTCATCTCTTCCTTCTGTCCAGGGCATCTCGGGGGCCAGACAGGCAGATGCCCAGCTTTTATTTTCTTCAGTCTGGGGATCGAAACTAGGGCCCTCTCGCCGAGCTGTATGCCCAGCCCTTTTTTATTTTGAGAGGATCTCGCTAAATTGCTGACTAGTGCAGGCTGGACTTGAACTTGTGATCCTCCTGCTTCAGCCACTGGAGTGAGGGAATGGCAGATGTACACCGGAAGGCCTCCTTAGCAGAAGGACAGCAGCCAAGGGCAGAGCCTGGCTGTGTCCTGCTCTCCCGGGACAGGTCTTCCAGAACAGAGGTACCCACAGGACAAGGGTAGTGCTGGGGGCTGAGAGTCTGACCATGTGGGACCACCCAGGTGACGAGAGAGGTGAGAGCCAGAGAGCATAATCCAGGGACTGTCCCCCGCAGGCTCCCCAGGGCCATGTCCCCCCACCTGCCTGATGCGTACCCCTTCTCCACAGCTGGCGCTGCTCACAGAGCTCTCCCAGAACCGTGGCAGTGACAGCTACCGGCCGTTCAGCAGCTCCCAGAGCGGCCCTGCTTTCCACAGTGTCTTCCAGAATGAGAACTTCCAGCTGCAGCTCACACCCCCACCTGTGACCGAGGACTGACGGGGCATCATTGGCCAAATAGGAGTCCCCACTGCCACCCCAGCACAGCCCCCCATCCCTTCCTGCATGTCACCACAGCTTCGGCCCATCAGACGGACTGGGCTTTCGCTTCCAGGGGGGACCCACACGCCTCCCAGCTCTGGAGGAGAGAGCTTGCCCCGTTTCTGTTCAGGGTCACCTGGGGCCTGGGCTGGACCCCCTTGGTGGCATTCTGGGTGAGTCACCGGAGGGACCCGGCTGAGGGGAGCAGAGCTGGGCCAGGCCAGGGCATTGCTGTGTTTCTGATTACTCAGGTGACAGCCCTGTCCTTGACAATAAACATCCGCGTTCAACGGCTGCAGGCTGCCGGCCACCCGCTCTCTGCCTGTTGTGCTGTGAGATGCTCGGAGCCGTTGCCACCTTGAGCTTCATAGGCTCCAAGTCAGGGACCAGGACTTTGTCCTCAGACCAGCAGCCGCATTGTCCACCCCATCTAGAGTCCAGCCACTCAGGGGTCCTGTGACAGGGCCCCAGCAAGCTCGGTCGCCAGGATGCTGTACATCCCTGATGTGGGAGCCGGGCTGCGGGTTCCACTCGGACGCCACCCCATCAGCCCCCACCGGGAGGGGCAGCTCGGCTGGATGCTGACTGCAGCCTCAGGAGACAGATGGATGAGCTCCACAGGACCAGAGTGACTTTGAGTAGCCAACAGAGCCTGCTCCTGCCATCCCGAGCTGGCCGTGGGCCCTCTTTATAGAATGAATGAGCTGTGAGGGGAGGAGGAGGCAAAGGACTGTGGTGAATGCCCAGGAACGTCAGCTTTCATGGTGCAGCTTCTCCCAGAGAGGCAGCTGTGGCTGAGCTGAGTGGCCAGTGGTGCCCATCACAGCCACCTGAGGGTATCTCGACCCCATGGACAGCTGAGAAGGCCAACACGCAGGGATGCTGAGTCATTTAACCAGGGCCACCTGGAGAAGTGGCAAAGCAGGGATCTGAACTCAGAACCATGACCCCAGTGCTGCCCCGCCAAGGCAAACAGGTCTCAGCCTGCAGTTAAGGCCTGGGGAGCTGGGTATTGTCAGGGTGTAACCCGGTGGCTGCCCTTTCCAGAGCCCGAAGAACTAAGGCAGAGGGATGGGCGGCATAAAAAGACATCATTGTAGGGCAAAAACCGTCAGGGTAGGTGGGAAGGGGAGTGACAGCATACGTATTCTAGGCACTGCAGGTAAAGTTGTTAGCATTTGAAGAAAATATGTCTGTACCGTGGAAGCCACTCAGCCTTTAGAGATGAGGAACTCGTGTTTTTTCAGCTCAGGACCGATGGCCGTTAGGCTAAAAAATAAGCCAGTAAGAAAGGCAGACACTGCTGACCTCGCGCGGGTGGCATGCACAGAGTCAGGCGGTGAAGCAGTGGCCACCAGCAGCGGGGCTGGTGAGCACACTGGGCAGATGCTGGTGAGAGGACACAGGATTTCAGTAAGGAGGGCAGTCCAAGAGGCCTCTGTCCCGCACAGTGAGCGGGGTTAATAAAGTGCTTCTGGAGTTGCTCGGGAAACTCTTTTCACGTGTTCTCCGTGCGGAAGATAGCAGACATCAGCCATCCCACAGGAGACACGTGCCTGATGTATTGTGGTACACACCGTAAATGTAACGATTCCTACTGGTCAGTTAAAGTTAAAAAGGAACCGAGGAGTCTATGGTAGAGCCCTGCCTGCTAGAAGCAGTGGACACCAACAGCTTGTCCCAGGCAGCCTTGCTGTTTGACCAGTCCCATCCCGGGGACTTTGCCTCATTCAGGTCACGGCCCAGCTGAGTGAACCGCAGCCCCTTCTGGTTCTGCCTTCCTGAGGATGACCATGCTGGGGTCGGGCCGTTCGGCTCGCCTGAGGGTTGGGGAGAGGCCCTTTCTTGAGCGCTAGGCTGCTCTGGCACTGGGCTCGGCAGGCCTGCACGGAGAGCCCCGTCCCTGCCACCTGCACCCCTGCTGCTCCCCCTTCTGGCACTCATCATGTGCCATGCCTGTGTCCCATGCAAAGCAGTTCCCCAGCGGCTCAGACTCCTCCCTGGAAGTCTTCAGCATCAGCAGACACCTTGTTCTGCTGACAGAGCCATGGATGCTTGGGGGGGGGGGTGCCCCACAGACCAGGCTGGAGCTGGACTCAGAAGGTGAGCCGTGTGGCCCTAGGGCTGTATCTAGGCCATGTGCTGGCCCTTAGGAGGAGGAGGGCCAGGGATAGGAGGTTCCTGGTGGATCCCTAGGGTGGGGGAGTTGATTCCCTGAGCAGAATTGGCAGAAGGGAGCGTGGAAGGCACTCGTGTTGGCCAGGAAAAACAGTGACCCTCACAGCTTGGTTCACTGTAGCTGGTCAGCAGTAAGTATTTGCTCAGCGGGCATCTGTCACAGCTGAAAATAGCTCCCCTCAGGTCTCCAGATGGCTGTTATGGAAACAAGTGACCAACACACAGTCCCCCCTCCCTGTTACTTAAGTTGGGGGGCACATGCTAAGCAGAAAACATCCCTAGAGCTGTCAAACCTTATTATTTTTATAGTCTGTCATTTTAAAATGCTTCCCGTTTTTTCACCCGTGTTCCTGTCTGCACCCCTCCATGCCCCTGGGTTCTCTGGGCGCCTTCACAGTAGCCCGCGTGCAGCTGTTCACACGGGGTCACTGTGACCAGGGACTGCTCTTATAGCCCCTCTCTGCCAGCCTTGTTTCTTTTTACATTTTATGTAGAGGGAGATTTTGTTCTTCGTGCCTAAAACCAGGGCTGCAGGTGCTGCTCAGTGGTGCAACGCATACCCGGTAGGCTCTGCACCCCAAGTTTGACACCCTTGTCATGGGCACGTCACTGTCCTCCAGGTGGCACAGATCAGTTGGCCGGTGGTTCCACGTTGCTGTGGGTGAATGCGGCTCCTTGCAGGTGCTGAGGCTGAGTAGCCAGGTGCAGGGTGAGGAGGTGAAGCCTCTCAAAGGTGATGAGGCCCCGAGGCTGCATGCTCACCCTCCTCCCCGCCACTCCGGCCAGGTTGCAGGGGCAGTGCTGCCTTGCAAGCAGAGAGTGGCCCTCTGGCCCCGAGCCTGCAGGCAACCTCACTGCCGCCCCGCCTCCAGGACTGTGAGAACCCGAACTCCCTGTAAGTTACGGTCTTCAGACACCTTGTTAGAGCAGCCAAGGCCCGTGTTTATCGGTGTCTGCTCAGCTTTAACTTGTAGGGAATTTATGTGTCCATGTTGCCTTCCTTGATGGTGTCTGTTCTAATACTGACCAGAGACTGAGCTATCAAGGCCTCAGAAAGTTGCTCCCAGCTAGAGGGGTGTCACCCTGGGTTCCTTCAGGGCTCGGGGCTCTATCAGAGCTGGCACATTTTGGGACTCAGCAGAGACTGCAGCTGACCCAGGCTTCCACTCTGCAGAGACCCTAACCACTCCTGCTCCAGGGCCCAGGTGTGGCAGAGCTGTGTGGCACTGTGGTACTATCCTTATAGTAACCTGGGGACAGCTGCTGTGTCCCTGTCCTGCTCACAGGGCATCAGGCTTAAGGCCTCCCAACTGGTGAGCTGTAGGTAAAGCTTGGGGGTGTCTGACTTGAGTTTTGCCTGGGGATAGAGACAGTGGAGGCCTCCCAGGGATAGTGTCCACTCCTGCAGGGCGGTCAAATCTAGGAAGGACGGCCCTCCCTGCCACTTCCATGCAAAGGTGAAATCAAGGAGGAAACAGGAAAAAGACAGACCCGCTCTGCCTAGGTTGATGCTGGCCAGGTTGCAATCTGTAACACATCTGGGGGAACCCAGCAGGTGAGGAGGGTGCTGGGTGTGGCCAAGCTGGGAGGCCACTTCCTTGGTCACCACAAATCTTTCTCCAGCCCCAGATTGACCTGCTTTCCCAACCCCTGGATCAGTGTGATATCCCACAAGATGCTGACCCCTGTCATTATGCAATGGACCTATGCATTATGCAGTACACCCGTCTGGTGAGGGAGGGGTTCTTGAGAAGTAACTGGTGGTCCTGTGCCCTGTTGCTGCAGTAGGGACGAGCAGTGTCCAGGCCACATGTGGCTCCTCCTTGGTGAGGAAAGACCTGCAGACCACTAGGGCATGAAGGTTGCAACCTAGCAGTGATGTGGGTGAGCACAGAGGAAGATGGGAGCCTGCGTGGCGCATTAGCTTTGTCCTTGTAACCCTCCACCTTGTTCCCAATAAGTCCTCTGTTAGTCACCACTGCATGGTTTGTGCAGATTTGGAGCAGATCCCTGCAGGCTTGGGGGAGCAGTGGCTTCATAACCCAGGGAGGCCCAGGGCTCCCTAGGTGCTGGGCCAAGTGCCAGGTGCAGTAATGAGGGCGGGTCCCGCGGGGGCTCTGGCCATGGAGAGGACAGGGAGTGCTGGGCCCAGGCAAGGAACTCGGCCCTGGGAGCAGGACTGAGCCACGTGGGATGGGCAAGGACAGGACGCGGCGGTGCAGGCAGGGAAGGGCCTGTGTGACAGCAGACAGGCTGGTGAAAAAGGCCGGACTCGTCCCTGCCGAGGATACGACAAGAGGGGGACAGTAGGCTGAGCAGAGCCCCTCACTGGGGACTTCAGAAGCCACAGCACTAACTGCACCATCACTGTCTCCAGGATTGCAGGGCATTTCTGTGGAAGGGGGAGGAGCAAGGCCCTCCTCCTCCAGCCAGTACTGTGGGGAACAGAGCTGGGCCTGCCTGGACCCCTGCTGATGGGGAGGGGACTGTCCTGCTCTCCAGGAAAGCAGTGTGGACCTTGGGGCCCAGCCCCACGCTGGCTACTCTGCAGGGCTCCACCTGCAGCAGAACAGACTCGGAGGTGTGTGGGAAATGCCTCGCAAAGGTCACCTGTGACCACGCTGAGCCTGCCCTGCTGAGGCGTGGGTAGGAGTTCGTGGAAGAGGGAAACCAACCGGGGCCTCGTCAATGATAAATGCATAGTGAATAAATAATTCAGAGCTTCAGGGATCCTTTTAGAAGCAGTGTCTTTCCACTCGGCTTTGCCTGCTGAAAATGTTTTCCCGAAGGTGCAGCCACAGAATCACATGCCTGGGCTGGGACAGCAGGCACAGCGTCCTTCAGTATCACTTTCCGGGCCACTAGGGTGACTGCAGGGCAAGGGTGTGACCTGCTGAGCCCCCAACTGCTTTCCACCTCCAGCAGCCCTGGCTCAGAGGTGCTACCCACATCACCCCACGACCCCTCCTCCCTGGGCATCCAGGGCCACCACCCTGTCCCCTTCCTCCCCACCCTCTAGGAAGCCAGCCTCAGATGGGGCACAGTTTGGCTCTCACCCCATCTGCCTGCTCAAGGGTGTGTGTTGTCCCCCCAAGGGTGGGGTGTTGGGTTTGCTCTCATGTTCCCTGGCAGTCAGCAGTTACTCAGTGCCAAGCAGATGCCAGGCTCTACTTGAAACAGAGTAGGGGTCTCCATCCTGTCCTTTTTAAGTACCTTTTTGTGGCCAGCAATATTCACAAATGACATGTGCATCCGGGCTCATTCACCGTACAAACACCTGCATGACCAGCACCCAGGCTGGGCACACAGGAATTCTCTACCGCGCGTCCTCCCCGCTCACCAGTATCCTGCAGTCTGCTGACATCTGCATGTTCTGATTTCTATCAGTGGAGTGATGCGCCGCATCCCCTCACACTGTGTCCACCCAGCATCGTGCTGTGGAAGTGTTGGGGTTGTGTGACGATACCGTAACTTCCATTGGAAAGGCACTGGGGTTAGTTACTCCAGGGCCAGCCCTGCCATAGGCCATTCTTGCTGTTTTTCGGTTGAACACATGCATGCATGTGTTATGTGTGAAGTTGGGAATGATTTTGCAGTGTTACACAGGTATGCCTAGTACCTTTTTTGAAGTGGGATCCTGGGGACTGAACCCAGGGTCTTTGCACTGAGTTACATTCCCAAAACCTCCTCTTTTGAAATGGAGTCTTGGTAAGTTGCTCAGTGTTGGTTCAACTTTGTGATTGTCCTGTCTCAACCTCTCAGAATACAGGGACCTATTTTGAAAGCCCAGATGAATGGATGCCTGCATCTTGTCAGATGGGCAAGATGGAACAGGTGCATACACCACCTCCCACTAATTTCTCTCCTGAGCTCGGTTCTACATGCAAGGCTCCACCAGCATGTGCCACTATCCCTACCCTAGCTGGGATAGTCGGTACTGGGGTTTGGCAGAGTCTGCTGCTAAGCTGCTGGGAGTGCTGGAACTCAAAAGCAGGGAGCCTCAGTGAGGCTTCCCCATAACCCAGAAGCCAGCAGCCAGTTCCCTCCATGTGGTGCACCTGTTGACCTCACCATGAGGGAAGTCCCTCTGAGTGGCTGGCTTGGGGCAGACCAAAGGGCCTAGACAGATGATCAAGGAACACAGGGCAGCTCTAGAAGTTCAGGGCCTCAGTGCTGCTTATGGGGAGAAACTAAATCCTTGTGGGGTGAACTGACCCTGCTGGGAATTCTAATATCCAAAGGAGCCCTGGTGAGTTCAAGTTGGACCCGGTGCTCTTATACCAACATCTCCATGACTGGACTGGAGACTAGCTGCTCCTGGGCTCCTTGGGGAATCCACATCTCTGATGTCCATAAATCCAGGGCGGCTTGTGAGATATGCAGGGCTCACCCCATGATCCTGGGTATCATGCACTGTGTGTCTCCTGTGGAGGACTACCCAGACCTCAGTGAAATTGTCCTCCAGACACCTCGGGGCCCACAGGACTTCCCAGAGTGGCTTTTCCAGGTCTTCCTGCACACAGATGCATGTGGCTACACTGGCTTTGTGAATGTCAGCATCACAGTTGACAGATTCTCAACATGAGCCCTACGTTTACTGCACAGGACCAGGTCTGGCACATACCAAATGCCCACAGCAAGGCAATTAGACGCAGTCTCCTGGTGTGGCATGGTCTCAAAGGTGACCGGTGGTGGGTGACAGAGGGGAGCAGCTGGTGTCAAGGGCCCCAGTGGGTCAGGAGGGCAGATGGGAGCAGCTGATTCTCAAAGCACTAAGATCTGAGCCCACTTCCCATGAAGAGCTTTCAGATCTGGGCGCCACACCTGAGCACCAGGCAGAGTTGGGGGCAAGCGAGGCTGGTCCCGAGCAGGGGCTGGGTGGCAGCACTGTGGGCTGAGCCAGGTTGGGGGACCCTCGCCACCTCTACAACTAGGCCTGGGTGTGTGTGAGGTGTCAGCCTCACCTCGGGTCCAGAGATGATGAGGTGGACTGGTTGTCAGTGGGGTCTGGAGCCCTGGCTCTGCTCCCACCTGCTGGGACGAGACCATTGTGGCTGATGCGACTCAGTGTTACCTGTGCCTGCTCCCACACAGTCACTGGCTGTGACTGAGAAGCTGCCACTGGGGAAATGCTCTGTGAATGGGCCCTGACCACAGGCCGCTGCCTTTCATGTGTCTGTGATGCTGCGTGTTTGTCATCATGCAGGGAAGCTCCAGATCTCTGTCCTGGAAATACCATTCGAGGTTTTTTCTACCAGGTGACAGGCTAGGGGTCACACAGGGCGTAGATGTCCCACCCGGAACACCCCAGCTGTCTGATCTCCCATCTCCAGATTCACAGGGATCCTTAAGCTTAGATGGCTGAGACAGCCAGGAAGACCCACGTGGCCCACAGATGTAGCAGCTGTGTTTGGGGCACCTGAGACGGGCCCAGCCCTCAGTGGAAGCTGGCTGTATCCAGGGCACATTGGCCTGGTTTCAGTCTCTTCCAGCAGGGGTAAGGCAGTATAGCCACTGCCTGGCCTTTCATACTCAAGACTCTGGGAAACTGGCTTCCTCCTGCATGCACGGTCCAAGGACTCACTACATCTTCAAACTGACTTACTGGATTGTCTGATTATAAAAGTAATAAAGATTCATTTTAGAAAGCTAAAAATTTCAAAAAAAAAAAAAAAAGTAACCAGAAAAACACTTAACACCTTGACATATTTAGTTTGCCTTTTTACCTGTATTTCCATCAACTTCTTGTATCTCCCTGGCTCCAAAAACTGGCCCCCGACCTCTACCTGCCTGTCCTTGCATCCTGCTGCAGTGAGACCAAGTCTTGGAGTCCTGACTTGGTTCCGACACTGAGCACTGGCTGGTGGGGCAGCGAGGGTTAAAGGCCCCCTGGTCCCAGTGACGGAGCTGTGAGGACGACAGGAAGCCAACTTAGCATCTACTGCCGAACGAACGTGTGTGGTCAGCATGTGCGAGCGGCTACAGGAAGATGCCTTCCAGAACTGTGCCACACCGTTACATGGGATGGTACAGTAGAATGCACAGGTGGTGGATGGGGTTAGCTGCGGGCGGGGGTCATTTCAGAAGATGAGTTATCTCTGCAAAGCACAAAGAGCTGGCCCAGGGAGCTCGTCCAGCTGTGACTAACACAGAGGCAGCAGCAGCCCGATCCAGGCAGAGGGCTCTGTGGTCACACAGGCGCGTGCATGTCAGGAGTGCCGTGCCGAGCCCCAACACTGCACAGAGAAGCTGCACTGAGAAAGAAGCCACCAGGCCGTGCCAAGGTGTTTGCTGGCTTGGGGACCACAGAGTAATGTAGGGGCAATTAGGAACCCACCTCGGTCACGTTCTAGGTACAAATCTAACTCTCCCAAATGCAGCTCTGCTGTCCTGCAGCCTGTGTGCCCGGGTGTGCTGAACAAGGGAACCCAGATCCCAGATGTGGCTGAGCCCGATGACCTAAGTGACACCCTGCGGTGCTGGGGTCACCCTCACTGTACAGCCTGCTGCTAGGGTGTCTTACAAGGCTCTTGTGGGCTAGCTGTGGAGGAGATTGTTTTATTGACTATAAACCTAATGGAGCCAACAACAAAAATTACCACAGGAGTCCCGGAGTCGTGAGCGGGGGCCACACGCACGCTGCGGGTGACATCCGCTTGCACTCCTAGGGCTGCCCGAGTGAGGAACAGAGGCTGCTTATTTCTTAGCACACAGAAGCACTTCCATGCGTGTTTTTGTTTTTAGCGTGCATCGCTGTTGTTTAATCTGATAGCACTGCGGTGAGGGCTTCAATCTCCAACACAGCAGACTTGTTCCGATACAAAAGAAATTGCATTTATTTTACACGGCAGTATTTTAGTATTACACAGGAAAAGAAAGTTGAGCTGTCTCAAGAAAACAGTATTGTAGGAAATTACAGAAGAGTCAACATTGTGCTTAAAACTTTGGAATATAGTTTTAAAAAAATAGCACAGAAGTGAATATTGCAAGGTATGAACAGCCTCACATGGCATCTGTGAACAGAGAAACCCCAAAGCTCAGACCCCCTGGATGGGCTACAGCCGTGGGGAGAACCCGACATGGCCCGGAAACCTTCCACACCCTGTACCGTAAGCCTGGCAAGGAGCAGCGCTTTAAATGGTGAGTTTTAACAAGTGCCCTTGTGCTTACGTTTGGACCTGAGACAAGCTGACGGCCAGGGAACACACAGCTCAGTACGCAGTGCAGCGCGCCTGCCTTTCCCCAGTGTGCAGAGAGCAGCGCACACCCCGCAATCCCAGAGCCAGGCCTGTCCTCCCGCTCTGCCCCCCACCTCCTCCAGGCCAGGGGAAAAACAGCTCCACTGCTTTCCTCATGGCAAAAGCCAAGATGTGGCAGGAAAATTTTGCAGACAATCAAGAGCTGACTGCATGAATCTGCATTGTTCAATTCTGCTTTTCCCCTTGCCTAGCAGCATCTACCCTGGCAACTTTCTCTGGGTATCCTGACAGCTTTCTAAGGTATTGGGGTGCATCTTCTTCCGCAAATAGAGAATTAAATGTGCATAAGAGGTGTTCATTAGGGTCAGTCCAAAGAGAACTGTCCAGGAAGGAGAGGTTCAGAAAGCTACCGGTCCCAAGATACAAACAAATCTGAATTCTCATCTTATACCTTAAAACTAATATAGAAAGTACCTAGATTTGACATAAAAGCCTTACAGTACCAAATAGTTGTGATCACAAAAGCGTTTTTGAAATTTAAGTTCTGAAATTCTGGTTAGGTAGGAAATCTGCGTTCCACATTGAGAGGAGCTGAGTTTCTATGTACAAACCTTCACACCAACTTCCTAGATGGGGAACCAGTGCCCGGTGTGCCCGTGACCCACCCGGTGTGCTTTCTGGGTCTGGATGAAGCAGCCACCAGGCCTCGAGCCCAGGTATTAATCAAAAGCCTACCTAACATGCCTGTGCTTAACATCTATAGTACACATTGCAATCTATTTCTAAAGTGCCTATAAATATGCTTATGTAAATCAGCAATATAATAACAGGATTACAGAGATCCTTTCGTATAACATGGGAGAGAATAGGCCTAAAATTTACGTTGAAAGTACATTTATATCCTTAGATGATTTTGGAATGCAAGCATAAACAAGTCCAGTTCAATCCTATTTCAGAGAATTATTAGTATTAACAGTGCTAGAACAAAAAATCTTGCTTGTGCTTATTTAGGAAAAAGGCTGTTTTGAGATCCAGAAGTAGCTAATATTTAGAACCCCATGGAATGTCTCCAATTCTATAAAATATTAAGTGAAGCTTAGTTTTAATTATAAAGAAATTATGCAAATATTTAAAGTGATTATTAACCATTATTAAATCCAAAAATTCCATTAAAATTGTGGCTTATCAGAGTGGCAGTTCAAGAGGTTAAAAAGCAGAAACCTGGACAGAAGTCACTGATGTGACCAGTGAAGGGCCCAACCCCACTGCAGACGCAGCCTCAGAAGCTGCAGACACGAGGTCCATGGCATGCACACTTGACTGCTGCCTCTAATCAATCGGTGTGGCCGTGGGCCTGGAATAGGACACCAGGGCGATGGTGTGAAGATGCCCATTGCCTCCTGCCAGGGGACCCAGAGCGCACCGGGCACAGGAGCTGCCGCCACAACCCTGAGCATAAGCATGCGTGTGGCCGGGGGTCTGGCTTCCCTCCCTGCCTTCCTCAGGGCCTTCTCTCAAAGGAGGCACCAAGAACCTCCGCCAAGGCTCTTCAGATGTCCCCAGGCCGCCAGGGCAGCAAGGCGATGCCTCAGCCTCTTGCCCGCATCCGTTGGCCCTCTCTGCCTCACTGTTCTGCAGCGCCTCCTGTCACCTTCTTGGTTTGACCTGTTGAGTCTAAATTTCAGTAAGTGGGGAACCTTAAGCTGCTTTCTCATCCTGCACGGAAAGTTTTTACTAACCCTGTTTTCAAAGGAAGCCCATGCTCTGCCTTCTAAACCCAATGGATGTTTTGGGGACCTACACCTATGGAGCCCTGCAGACTTCAAGGAAGAATCCACGAGCCTCCCTTTTCCTAAACCACAAACTACAGCGACACCGAGGAGATGCGTCCCGGTGCTGGCAGGGCACAAGAAATGCCGCGGAAGCAGTCATGGACAGCTAGGGTGGAAGTTTCTCTCCAACTTGATGGTTCTCATCCCATCAGGCCACAGTTAAAGCTTCTGGATTCTCAACTGTCTTCTATAGAAGCTTTGGAGAAATGGCAGATACCCAACTAACGTGGTCCAAATGAAGAGGAGGAGGAAAATTTTGACAAGTGTTAAAAGAATTACTATTTTGTGCATTTGAGAGAAGACACATACAATGGATCGTGATTATCAGTGAATATTACACAAAATATCTGCTCCTGACTCAGCACTGAATTATTTCAACTGCCCCTGCATTTGCATAAAAACATCCATGCATCATACTGAATTCTAACCCACTTCTCACCTAAAGCCATTCTAATGCTTCATACAACCAAATGAAGCAGAATTAATCAAACCTATTAGATTCATTCCTAATTCCTATAGGACTTCTGTCTTTTAGCATTTCCATGCTAACTAAAACTATGTTTTTAAGATGTCAAATGTGGCTGCCTCCTAAATGCAATACCTACTTCCTAAACATTTTCTTCGGATTTGAAGAACAATTAAAAGCAGGGAAAATGAGGAACCCACCCAAGAGGCCAAGTCCATCTCCTTCCCTGGGCTCCCAGAGCCCTGGGTGCTGGGATTCGAGCCCCTGGCAGTGGGACTCGGGTCTCAGTCCACTGTCCCCCCACAGTCCCCTGCGGCGGAGCAAGCCGGAGCCGGAGTCCTCTCCACACAGGGCAGGTCTAGCTCGGCCCCGTTGTGAACAGTTATGCAGATTCTGGCCAACCCTGGAGGCCGTGCTGTCCTCCATCCCAGGAGTCAGGGCGCAGCTCTGGTCCAGACCTGGTGGTGGGCAAGAGGACCAGGGCACACCTGTCCCTGGGGCCGGGCAGGGACGCCAAGTCTTTCTGCAAAGGACTGGCTCTCTGGGAAATACAGTTGCCGTCACTCTGGGCAGCTCCTCCCACTGATTGAGATACTCTGTGGTCATCACTTTGCTGCTTTCAAAAGTTCCCAGTGAAATTAAGGCTGGGTCAAAATATGTGACAGCAGATGCTACATAGAAAGTATGTCAAGATACAAAAGAAAACTGCTAGTAAGAAAACGGTCTCAAGTGTAAGACTAATGTAAGGGGACACTCACTGGCAGACCACCAAACTGCTATGGTTGGCAGAAGGGCGGCAGAAAATATCCACAGCATTGGCAAAGGATCCATCAGACAAAAGTACAAGAGCTCGTGAGGGTCGGGGTGGCTCCCGGCACTCACACCGTGGTTTCTATGGTTTCGATCACTTCCAGGTCCGACTGCGAGGGCGACAGGAGGGTGCACTCGTCCGGCTCCCAGCTGCTCTCTGGGCTGTAATCCTCCTCTGAGCTCAGCTCTGCTGCCCCTTCCGTGTCCTCCTCGTCACATGACTCCACGTAGTGGGCCCCAATCGCGTTGATCCCCGAGTCCTCGGAACTGGAAGGGGAGGAACAGTGACCTCGCTTTGGTGTGTTGCTCGCGTCTGGAATTAAGGCATCGTGGGCAGAGAGCTCCTCGGGGCTCGGCCTGGGGGAGGAGGGGGGCAGCTGCTTCTGCACGTAGCACATCTTCCCGTTAATGCATTTCACCTGATAGTTGTCGAGGAAGAGATCGGAGATCATGCAGTATCTGGGCGAGTCGGGGGGCAGGGGAGGCTGGAAGACAGAAGCGAATTTCAGGAAGTGTTCGGTGAGCGACACTGAGATCTGAATGGTGTTTGTGGGTTCTCGGGGCCTCGCGGGAATCTCGGTGCTGGGGAGCTGCTCCACCGGGGTCATGGGCTGGTACACGTATTTGCCTGAGGGACACAAAAGACAGGGGTGAAGTCTGAGTGTGACACAGACTGCAGTGAGATAGCCCCAGTCATTTCCTTCTGCCGGCTGTGTTCGTCATTCACCTCTGCCCTAACCCACTTCAGGAGCACGCGCACATTACTCCCCTAGAAACTTCATGTCCTTCCCGGATTCTAACCATGAGCTGTTCTCATGCCTCTGGGGAAGGGCTGAATCCTCCAATCCTCCAGGCCAGCCAAGCTCCTGTCCAGATAACATCCACTGAGTTCCTGCCGTGCTGGGGCAGCATGATAAAAACATGGCTGTAAAATGGTACTATAAAATCATAATTCCATCTTAGTCTTTAATTAAAAGTTAATATATACATTTAAAAACCTGGAAGAACAGATGCCAATTTATCGCCAAAATCACAGAGGATATTCACTGTTTTGTTTCTATTTTTTGTTGGCAGTACTGAGAATGAAACCCAGGGCCTGGGACACGCATGTACCCAGGTCTGCCGCCCAGGCCCTGGGCTCACATGTCCTCCTCGGATCATGCGTGTTTAATAGGTGGTGGCGTCTGGGCTGGCCTGGTCCCTCCGAGACAGCACAGGGTAAGGTGAAGAGTCTCTCAGGACTCCGAGCGCATCCATGGCCTCGGGCAGAAGCGCTGCCACACTCCAGCACAGGGCACAGCCAAGCGCCCGAGCCCACACAGCTCCTTGGCCTCCAGCTGACCCGGCTCCCATGGTGAGACCTGTGTGGCTCGGCTGCTAACGCCTCAGTCCCGCTCTCTCCACTTCACACACAGCAGCGCCTCGCTTGTGCCAAGTGCCAAGTGGCTTTAAAATACAGGAAAAAACACCCCCCAGATCCTGAGGTAACAGTCACTATTGTGGGTGTCACCTTGGATTTGTCCTTAGACATGGACAGTTCATCTTGTGCACACACCTGTGGTGCAGAACCCTAGCTCCACTGGCATCCAGGTCCAGACAGTCCTATGCCGGGGTCGGGTGCTGTGTGCCCTGCGGGACACTGAGCAACACCCCTGGCTTCGCCCCAAGCATGAGAATCAAGCACAGTCCCCACCTCCTTCAGTGCCCCAGAAGGGAGCTGCGCCTGTCAAGAACATCTGATTCTCGGTGTCCTCTCAGGTATCTTTTTGTTGGCAAACCACTTTGCATGTTCGATTTCTCGGTCAGACTGAAAACCATGTGAATTGCGTTTGTAATGAAACTTAGGTGGTTTCTTTTTAAAAAAAAAAAATTTTTTTATGACGTCATGCTTGCAGGCAGGCGCTTATGCTGCTGAGCTAAATCCCCAGCCCCTTGGGCAGTTTTTTTATTTCACCTATCAATGTATTCATGGAAGAACAGCGACTTCGAGTCAGGAATGTGCCTGGTACCCCACACCACAAATCGTGCACCGGCAGTGACCTGTGAAAACCGAGTCAGCCAACCTGCAGTTTTTATTTCTGTTTCCTGATTCCTGAACCCAAACCAGACAGAAAAACCTTAGGTGTCACCATTTCTTTGTAATTAAGTTACTCTAGAACTATTTTTAGCTTCCTCCTGGAGTCCCACATGGGGAAGATACATTTAAAAGCCAGAATGTGTTATGCCTTCAGGCGCCCAGGTGTGCTTCCAAACCTGGACAAATGTCATGTGAGCCCCGCAGTGCCAAGAGAATGTGAGGGAGCCCACTCGCACCTGCCTGGGCTGCTGTGACGGGGTACACCAGGTGCCTTCATCCCTCTATAGCGGCAGAGGCGCACACAGAACAGGATGCTGCCTCTAAGCCTCTAAGTGGGAGCAGAGAGCAGGACGCGGTGCCTCCCTGCACACCCTGGGCCCCAGGAGTACAGTGTGCATGTCTGGGCCTGTGCTGGAGTGGACACCTGGGGAATGGCCCTGTCCTGTCCACAGAACAGTGAACAAAATGACTGGCATGAAATCTGCTCTTTCCGCTTCGCGGCCTGAGCTCAGGGGGGTGCAGACAGCAGGCACTGAAGACAGGTGCTGCAGAATGCACCAAGCCCATTCACCCACAGCTGGTCCCGTCGCAGCCGGAGGGCGGTCCTGGCCGTTGGTCCGACCTCCCAGAACCGTCCTCAGTCCCAGAAGGCGCAGGACTGTGGGCTGGAGCGGAGGCAGGAAGCGAGCCGGCCGCCCCATTCTCCCTCCCTAACCCCTTGCCCCACTCTTCCCTCCTCCTCGGCTGCTTCCTATTTCCTTTCGTTCTTTCCCCTGGTGCCTCCACCTTGCTCGCTCCTTCACTGGCCCCTCCTCCAAGGCTTTTGACTCTCGGAGACTGGTGGCATGGGATGGACGCTGGGTCACCACTACCACCACTCGGACTCTGGCGTGGTGGCATTGGAGGTAATCAGGTTCACACGGCAGCTTCCGCACTGGCCTGGCGTCCTAAGCGGAAGAGGAGGAGGCAGAGCGCCCTCTCCTAGTGAGGACTCACGCCGAGTGCCCTCCCTGGGCACTGGCTCTACCAGCACCTTGGTTTTGGACTTGCTGGCTTCCAGCTGGTGAGCACTATTCACCGCTCAGGCCTCAAGTCTGACTTCGCAGCAGCGTGGTCTGAACCAATCCAGATGTGCAGCGAGTGAGAGGCAGCTGAAGAGGAGGACGTGCCCTGCACCCCGGCTTCCCTCTCCTCATGCGAGGTGTGCCCACTAAATGTGCTCACTTGGAAGGAGGGGTCAGGCCCCAAATCTGGGAATACAGACACCCACATAAACAAAGTTTAGTATCCACTGCTCTAATAGAAAGGACTATGTAATGCTGTTAAGGCTTAAATATGGCTGTCCCCCTAAAGCTCACAAGCTCACGGTCAGACCTTCTGGGGTGACTGAATCGCGGATATGTGGTACTGGTTTAGTCACTGAAGGGTTTCACTGGCTGCACCATCGGAAGGGGAGCCTGGAGGGAGCTCCGAGGCCTGTGCACATGGCCTGAAGATGTGGATCTAACCGTTCTCCCTCAGTCCTGCCACGGCTCTTCCAGTCCGCTGCTCCATGAGTGCTTTGTCCCCTGTGATGCCCCTGTGCCGCGCCACCCTGCCCCAGAGCCAGTCAACTCGGGACTGAGACCTCTGAGCTAAAGCCCTTTTCTTCTCTACCATGTGGGTGTGCTAGCAACGAGAAAGTAACCAAGACCAAAGCTGTATCGTTTGATTTGCTTAGAAACACACTAAGTTTTAAAATTATGCCTGGAGTACTTAACATGTATAAGGTCCTGGGCTCCATCCCCAGCACCACAAAAATAGTTTACAACGTTCATATCAAAGCTCTGCTTTCTACTCAAGGGTGAGCATTTTGCTTCAGTCCCCGGTAACTTCTGCCCTGCAGTGCACTGTGCCGCCGACCTGTGCTCTCAGCAGCAGCTCCCAAGCACAAGACCCCGAGTTCGGGTTCCTGGACTCAGAATAAAAGGTGCTAAGGCCAGCAAGGACTGAAGCAAAGGGTTTACGGTCAACTGGCCAGGAAGTTCCACAGCCGCTATACACTCTGAACAACTGGGCTCCTTAGAAGTGGGTGTGAACTTTCGGAACTTAAAGCTTCAAAGCAAAGATACCACATTGAAGGTTTAGAGGAACGTAGAGCAGTGAGATTAAAATAAGGGTCTAGCTGCCATCTGACCCAGAAATTCCACTCCTGGGAACAGATCCAGGGACTCCGAGAGGGATCCACACACTCACGTTGTAAAGCAACCCAAACGTCTGTCAACAGGTGACCAGATGAACGAGCACTCCTATGAATTAGGCCTTCAAAGGAAGGAAATTCTGACACAGGATGAATGCTGAGGGTCCCTGCTGAGGGAAGCAGGCCAGTCCCAGGTGACCGCTGTGTGGCCCCTCTTATTTGAGGGGCCAAAAGCAGCCACATTCATAGAGATAGAAAGGAGAAGGGTATTTTCCAGGGCTGGGGCATAAAATTTTTGTTTAACCAGAAGTGTGCATTTTGCAAGAAGAGTAGCAGAATTAGATGGTTGTGACAGCTGCTCGACAGAAATTAATTTACAGCCACTGGATCATACATTTTAAAATGGTCAGGGTGTAAATCTCATGTGAATTTTTATTGCTATTTCAAAATCTCTTTAAAAGGTGGCATAATTTATTATATTAACAGACTGTGAAAAACACTTCATATGCTCCAGAATAAATGAAGAATCTTACAACTCAGTAAGGAAAAAGAAAGTTTTAAAAAATAGAGGCGTGGCTGTCCCCCCAGAGCAAGGTGAGGGGCCCTTGTGGTAATGGAATGCTGAGTCTTAACTCTGCAAGCATTAACACTTGGTTGTCACACTCTATGGGGAGTACTTGGTAAAGGGCACATAGGAACTCCGTGTGTACCTCAAAATTATGTGTGAAATCTACGCTTTTCTGAAAATAAATATTTAAAGCAATGAGGGAGAAAAGCTCTACAGAAATCAGGTTGTATACCAGGTGGGACCCCCAGGGGACACATTCCACAATAGGAGAGGCTGGTGAACTTTGAATACTGCTTGATGTGGTATCTGCCTCAGTTTCTCCACTGTAAAGTCCCTGTTTTTTAAGAGAGATTTTGGAACCATGAAAACCCTGTTTCTCTTCATAGTGCCACTCACTGATTTTAGCAAGCGTAGGTGGATCTTGTTTGCAAAAACTGTTGCTGTGGCATTTGTCACAATCAACAGAGTGTTTCTAGGTCTAGCATTCCTATATTTATTAACTGGCATTCTATGTAACCACTAACATTCTATGTAACCATCCCTTCTCCTTCATTTAATTTCTTCAATGACTTACATGAGCATAGATTCATATTTTATTCAGTGGGTTGCTACTCATTATTCGCATTTATTGTATTGTTTAAAGTGTCCTAGACTTTGCTTTTGGGGTTTACCATAGTTTGGATCTTGGACACCCCACTAAAGCCTGTTCATTGAAAGCTTGATTTCCAGTCCATGAATGCTACTGGGAGATGGCAGATCCTTTAGGAGGTGGCGCCTGCTTAGGTACCTGAGGTACCCTTGAAG